TGTAAGCACAATCAGTATCCATAAGAAACCATTCTCATCTATCTGAACACTAGGAAAAATATTTAGTACTGTATTCTAAATAAATAACCAATGTGTTTATCATAGAATTTTGCAAGGATTGTCTGTCAGGAACAGGAGCCCCAGGTCTTTTTCAGTGTGTCTGTGAAAACTGTGTTCTGCGTCCTTTACATCTGCCTGCCTTGCTACATTCATGCTTCATCTCCATGTTTTGCTGGTTGGGATCTCCATCTGCAGGGCTACAGATGTAAATTAACAGTAAAACCATACGGTGCACATTTGAGATAAACATGTGCAAAATAAATCAAGCATTCAAGCATTGCAGTCAGACAGAGGAGCTTTCTATTCAAAAACATGTGTATACCCAGCAAAGAATTGGGACCATTCAGTGTGTTCCCAATTTGTTGCCATGCCATTAAGGCAAGAATGTTGTGGCAAAGCCAACTTGGTTGCCACTCAAGGCCTTGCCCACTAACATTGGCAGAAGACATCTTGAAGCACTCTTTTAACCCATTGCCAACATGGTTGAAACTGTTGAGCCTGAGAGGCAATAAAAAGGGCAATATTCCCTTCCATTCAATTACCATTGCCAAAACTCAGTCCCACTGTGATGCCAATGGCATTGCCTCAATGTGGCACAGCATTAAAAAAATCCCCATTCCTTATCTGCTATTTAATTATTTATTTTGCCTTCTTTGTGTTATACTCTTCCCTCTTTCTTCTTTACTTCATCTGTGTGCTTTCTGTTCACAATATTCTTTGCTGCTGCTGCTCACTTGCTTTGAATCTGCTGATGGTCCTGGGTTTTGAACTGGGGCCATCTGAGTGAGAGTCAGTCACCTTCACATCTAGCTATGCACTCACAAGCTAGGTCCAATGTAAATAGGTATGCCACTTATACTAAATGAGGTATTTCCCTATTCATTCAGAAAATCAGGAGCTGGAATATTTTTGTGGCAAAAAAGGAGTTCATGAGTTTATTTTCTATGATCAAAACCTAACCTCCATTTCAATCATTAAAGGATCACAGTTTCATCTGCCTTGATGTAATAATTGTAGCAATATTTTTTCTTGAAAAATATTCTGCTGATGAATGAAAAATTTCAGCAACGTTCAATATTAATTAGCTGTAACAAACTCAGAACCAAACTTATTCTTTTAGCAGGATTCAGCTCAAAAGAATTGCAATATACTGTTAAAAAATGAAGCCATGAAAAAAATTCCCCCAAACTGTGAAGATCTGTGAAGAGTTTGCTAACTGAGATAGGAGGGTGTTCAAAAAAGCAAAATGTTCCCCAAAATGAGGGCAATCCAAATGTGTCCTTGTACTAAACAGTGACTGCTCAATGATCAAGCAATGATCAAACAATTTTCAAGTTAGCATTGCTTGTACATTGCTTGATCATTGAGCATTCATCAAGCATTCATTGTTTAGTACAAGAACACATTTGGATTGCCCTTGTTTTGGGAAATATTTTGCTTTTTTAAACACCCTCTTGTCTCAATTAGCAAACTTTTTACAGATCTTCAAAGTTTGGGGGACATTTTACACATTGATTAATTTTGTAATAGTTCATAAAAATTCTTTCAAGCTTAAACAGAGAACTGCACCATTTGATTGAATAACACTGTGATCATGATGTTTCACTGTGATGATCTTGTTAACATAACACATCAATTCATTCAATTCATTATAATTTTAGCAAAATTTTTGGAAATTTTTAATCAAAAATATTGAACAACATATTACAATAATGTCCTTCAATATGATTGTCTATAAATAAGCCTTCCCATCGTCAACCCATTGAAAATTCATTCTGCAATGCCACTGAAAACGGCCTCAACAGTTTCTCCAAATAACATTTTGAATATGCTTTGCCAATGTGTGGTCAAAGCCAATTTGAGATTGCTGTTTTCTCTAATGTTGGGAGAATGGCGTTCCCAATGGCTTCAGATCCCATTCCCCCAACGTCAATCACAAAAGGGCATTGGCTGCAATCCTCACCATTCTGATAATGGTGCTGCAATGGCATTGCCAATGGCATTGTCAAAACGTTTGCCAGCCCAATGCCCCCATTCTTTGCTGGGTATAGCCAAAGTATTCACCAATTTCCTCACTTGAGTGGATGAAGCCCACACCAGTATTTGAATTGTTAGTGTTTTCATAAAAGTTTTAGATCATGCCAAAGTGAAATAATCATAAGGGGGTATGAATTAACCGTTTCTAATCATGAGTCGATTTTGCAGTTCATCATGAGATTGCCAGTCTTCTTCCATGTGGCCAGTTACTCCCTCTTTCTTTGGATCACACAAAAAGTTGCGGAGAAGCACTTGAAACTTATCTCAAATGCTCTTGGAGTGAGCAGGAAGCAGATGCGTTATGACACTCTGTCAGATATTGAACTATTTGCAATGTACAATGACACAGTGGATTTTTGCAACTTGATGTCAATGGCATTTGGACATTCTGTGATAATATATTTCATGGAGCTGTTCATTGGAGGAGTTGCAGTGTCTTTCCTGGTAGCTTATGACTTTGGACGTACCATACCTGATGAAGCGTCAGTTCGTTACCTGGTAGCACGTTCCTTGTTGCTGGTGGTGAATGGCCTTTTCCTCCTTTCAATCAATCAATGTGGTCAAAATATTCAAGACACTGTGAGTATATCCTCGCATTTTTTAAAGCCATGGTCTTGATGTGGAACTTCCTAATCTTAGACTCAAAGTAGAGCAAATGTTCACTGAGTCAGTTAGGCAATTATGTGCAGTCTATCTGCACTTTCTTGTATTCATTTGTCCAGCAGGCATATTTTGTGGCACTATAGCAAGGGTGCCACTAAATCAATGGTGTTATATATGACAAAGAGCTTTAGTTGAGGGCTTCAACTACAATATTGTATAATCAAAAGGATTGTTTACAGAATTGTTAGCTAATTTCTGATTCTATTTCATACAAGAAAAAGCCAGAAGATGTATTTCAAAGCTCAATTACATTTTGTTGTCTGAGCTGAATGAAATAAAAGCAATCTTGTGAACACAATATAACAAAAATATATATTTGCAGTCAATAATCTCAATATACATTTACAGTGAGGGAGGTTTTATATATTCCTTTATGCATTCCTTACATGTCCTTTTGTAACATACAAGCCATATTTTTACTCAGTTTTCCTGGGCTTTGAAAAATCAAGTCATTGCAATACTGTGTTTGGTTTTTGTTGCCAATCCAGGACCACCCATACTTTTTGCTGCTGAAAATTATGTATGATATGAACGAACCTGCTGTCAAGTCCTTCCACAATGTCAATTTACTCAGCAATCAGGACTATATACTGAGCCACCAAAAGCAGGTCATATGTCAAATGGTGAAAAACTAAATCTATGGTTAATTGTATAAATTAAAATATCAATGAAAATTTTGGAAAATACATTTTTGATAAACTTGAAAAATCGTATTTTGATGCACCGTTACTATAAATGGAGAAAATTATAATTTCAAAATTCCTCAGCGGGTGGCTTACTAAAAATCTCGGTCTGTACAGTAAATTACTGTATCTTCTCTTTCCCAAATCATCAAAACACATTGAAACGCTGTTTTCTAAAAATCAATGTGTCTCAGTGCAGTTTTGTTTTGAAATTCATTTGTTCAAAGAAGTCAATTTCCATCAAAAATGTTCATGGACTGATCATGATGTTCATAATCTTCACCTCATCCTGTGATTTTCTCATTTTAGGACGATGAAATTCGGCAAAGGATACGACAGCGGCCATTGTCTTGCAGCGGTGATGCGGAAGGGACCTTTTTCTTGACCTTGGCCAATAAAATGCCTCATACTTCAGAACAGGATATTCTTGAAAGAATCCTGATGCACAAGGGACCCGCACTAACTGCTTCTGGATTCTTCACTGTCGGCAATGGAATCGTTGCATCTGTGAGTCATTTCATGGAAGATTCAAATTGTAGCCAGTTAACATGGATATAAATGCTGTATTCGTTTTTTTTTCATTTGCGCAGGGTTTTGGAGTTATTCTCACCTACATCATCATCCTTGTGCAATTCAACATTGACATGAAGCAGGAATAAAAATTTTGCAAGAGGATGGAGCGATCAAATATTTCTCATTTGTGGCAGATTTCTTTTTCGCATGGCATCTTGAAATTTAGGGCAGGTTTTGTATCCACATTATACTGAACAGTTCAAATAAAAAGTCTACATATGAATTTTGCATATACAGTACATGTACCAATCATTTACGTTTATGAGTTTGACCAGCTTTGAAATACAGTGAGATCCTCTAAATATTTTTATTTCAGTTAGTTCAGACAACAAAATATAATTGGACTTTGAATTACATCTTCTGGCTTTTTCTTGTATGAAATAGAATCAGCAATGAGATAATTCTGTAAACAATCTTTTTGATTCTGCAGTATTTTAGTTGAAGCCCTCAACTAAAGCTTTTTGTCATATATAACACCTCTGATTTTGTGCCACCCTTGCTATATTGCCACAAAATGTGCCTGCATGGACAAATGAATGCAACAAAGTGCAGTTAGTGTGGGGTTGCATTGTGGCATGACTCCAGTGCGGTATCCTTGCTTGGACATGCCAACCTCACCAGGCAACAGGCACATGCAGCAAAATCCCATTGCGCACCCGGTTAGCCACATTGCAGTAAACCAGGTAAAATATAGGAATTAACAGCCAATTGATGAACTGGGGAATGAGAATGAAGTCCTCTGAAAGGAGTTTGAATTCTCATTCAAAACTTGCATTCTGATGGCTGCACTATTCAATTCCTTTGTCTATGATCGCATGGACCCATGACAAACCCCTCTGCATGCCTTACTCAAGGGCTTGTGGTACTCAACTAAATACGGTAATTCAAACTTCAACAATGGAGAAAAGGTGTAGCATAATTGGTACACTTTTGGAAAAGGGGGTTTTCCCCAAGTTTCTCTATTGTAGGATAACTGAGTAAAGCTTTTTTTCCTTATTTCTTCATTCATTTATTGGCTGCTTTCATCCCCACAAAAACTAAAATCCACCAGAGAGGTGTTGCAAATTGAATGAAATGGCTATAAGTTATCTTTGCAGCAGGTCAGGTCACACTTGAAATATTTAGTGCAAGAAAAAACCCCTGCTATTGTCGCCTTGCTGTTGGTGGACGTTTCGCAGAAGCAGAGCCGGTATTCGGTGACGGGGTCATGGACTTGACCTTGTGAAACTGGTTCGCATTCGAAATGGCAGTCGTGCCCAACGAGTGCCCGAGGGCGAACTTGTTCTTGCCCACAGCAGAAACCCGTCTTCTGCTGCTGATGGTGGTGGTGAGGACAGGTGCTGAAGGATTTTTGCTCGCAAAATTTCGCTCGTCGTCATCACCATCATCAATGATACTTTGATGATGAGTATTATTCTGCATCATGGAACGTCTCTGTCGAATGCTGGAATGGTTTAAATTCCTGCGAACATGGGGTCGGCTGGAGCTTCGCAGTGTCAATTGCGGTTTTTTAGGCGGGGAATAGGGCAAGAGTGCGCCAATAATTTTCCTCGTCTCGGGACTCGACCTTTTCTGCTGTCGTTGTTGTTGCTTGTTTTCCTCGTCTTCATTATGTTCAGGGCCAGAATGAGACGAGAAATTCACGTCCAATAAGTGGACAGCAGTCTGTTGTGAAGCCAATAATCGGCGATGTTCAGCAGGTCTGCTGGACTGTTTCCAGGGTGAGACGACGGTGGGTCCCGGGGTCTGGTACCTGTTGCCTCGGGATAAATGGGCAACCTTCAGCCTTTGGGCCCGGGTGAGGTCCAGGGATCGCCGGGTGTTGTTGGCATTATTGCCACGAGTCTGGCTCATCAGCATGTCTGGGAACATTTTCGTAAAGATGATTTCATATTCAGCTCCGGTTAACAGGGGTCCTGATGCTGGGCTTTCGTTACTGGCTCTGCTGTCATTTTCCTCAACGGTGTCTTTGTTTTTTTTTTTTTGGAAGAGTGGGGAAGGGAATAAGGTAAGAAATTGGTAAAACAAGGGTGAATGAGAAGTTATTTCTGATGGGGAATGTGTCATGTACAGTGAGACCCCCAGATGTGGACATAAATTGGTGCATCAAGAGTGCCCTAAGTTGAGTCTTGTTTTCCCATAGACTTACATTATATAATTTTTAATTGGTGTTTTGTGGAAGAAATATTCTTCAGAATTCCATGAAAAAAATTTGTTTGCCACTTGAATTTGATTCAGTGAATATCTTTTCAGCCAGATAAGAACATTTTGAGCCTTGACTAGTATATTCCACTGTACAGTTCATTGAAATGTTGGCATTTGTAAAAATAACATCCAAGTCACAAAAAGAGAATGAAGTCCCTCTGTAATACAGGTAATTTTGTCCATTAGCTGAATGGATTGAAAAGTGATGGGAGAAGTACCAAAGACTTTTTCTTACATACATATTTAAGGGTTGGAAATATCTGTTTCTTGCAATTAAGCCTAATAAAAGTCGATTTTCCTAAAATGTATGTTGAGTCAGTGTCCCTATGTTGGGCCTCTTTTAATGATTATTTTTATTGAAAATTAAATGTACTTATGTCAAATTATCTCCATGTTCAGGTGTCCACATGTTGGGGTCTCATTGTACATAGAAAGCTGAGTATAGGGTGAAAAAATATAAATTTGATTGAACCTATAGCTAATTTCAAATATTCAGTGCATCTGAATTTGTTTAACCCTTCTGTATAGTGGTCAGTATTTTCTCAAATAATTCAATTGTTCCCCAGATGTTGAGGAATTAATCAACCAAACATGGAAGAATTGAACGATAGTACAGTTGAAGAAATGGTAAGAAATAATGAGGCAGGGCAATCAGATGGTTTGCAGCCAGGTATATGTAACATATCTGTCAAGTAATACCCTGATGAATCCTCACATGGCAACAGCCTCAAATCCATCACATGGCAATGTCTGCATTTCGTTGCCCTCAGTTTCACAAAAGGTAACTGAAATTTGCCTGGGATGAGCAGGCCTGAGATTGGAAAATCTGGGACAGGTAGAATTATTTTGCATTCAGTAATCTTCAATCCTGATCCTATGATGGGACTGCAGAAAAAACACCACACAGTGAGGAATTCTTATTTTTGAGGGGAAAAATTCCTGTAGGATTAAAACAAATTTTATTTTTCCCAACCTATAGGCCTTGGGAAAAAATTGATTAGTTCCAGTAGTGCTCTTGGGCAAAAATTTAATTCTTGTGAAGACTGCACCACCTAATATCTACCTAATTTTAAAACCTAGGGTATCATCTAAACTGAGCTGCCAAGATTAAAAAATGTATTGGAGCTGTCACTTTGGTTTGAAAATAAGACTCAGCAGTGCATCTGCATCAGAAAAGGGGAAAAAATTAAGCTTTTCTTTTGGAATAACTTACCTTTCAGATAATGACCTTCTGCAGAATCTTGAACCACCTTCACATTAGGAGCTGATAGCTCACTTGGTTGGCTAACTTTAGTGTCATCTTCACTGCTAGGTCCCTCTTGTTCTTTCATAATATGCACAGGATTGGTCCCTGTAGACACCATGTGGTAGCTAAAGGAGTTTGTCTCAATCAACTCTGCAGTGTCCATTGATTGATTTGAGTCTTGGTCATCAGTCAAACCATCCAATCCATCAGCTGAAGGCATTGCTGATGTAGGATCAAGAGTGGCTTCTGCTGGTGCTGGTGGCATCACTACCTCATGTGTTTGACTTTGAAGCTGATCAAATATGGTTCTGAAGGGAACCATGACAGTGCCAGCCAGAGTACTCAAGGAAGAAGTTGCTTGATCAACAGGGTGCCAACTGTCATTGATTGTCTCAGCTTCTTGAGATGAAGTCACAGGCTTTGAGGGTTGAATACCTTCTTGGTGTGAGTCACCCACCACCATTGGCACAGGCACAGCACTTGCTTCCATTCCACTCATGGAGTCAAAAAATTTGTGCAATTGCTCTGCAAAATGCCACACACTGCTGTTGCTTTGTTCTCCACTGGCTGTTCTTTCTATGTCTCCTGTAACATCATTCCCCACATCAGATGTAGAGCTTGGTGTTACATGGAATATTCTGGGTATTTCTCTGGGCTCATGGGGAGACAAAGTGATGACAATTTCAGATGAACAGGAATCCCTTGCACACTGTCTCCTTCTTCTAATAATTTGTCCATCAGATGAGCCAGAGGCCAATTTGGTTTTCAAGTGGTCAGAAATGTCCTCCTCAGTCTCAAACTCTGATGCTACAGGTGGGACAAATGAATGCCTTCTGGTCAGTTTGGACTTTATGATGTACTGCTGATGGTGCTGTGTAGACTTGGAGGACCTTGAAGCCAGATGATGATGAGTGACTTGCTTATTGCCAATCCCAAAAGCTGTGCCTGCAAGGGCATCCAAGGCAGTCATGTGCACCTTGGTCTCAACTCTTGGTTTCTCAATATTCTTAATGGATGGATGAACAGAGGTTAGCCAGACAGACTGCTGCTTGTTTCCAGCAGCAGAGACCCTGGCAGGGACAGATTCCCCAGTTTTGGACCTCCTCAATGGTCCAAAGACTGGAGTGGACCTGGATGTCCTAATGGTAGTGGCACTATTATTGCTTCTCCTCTTGGATCCTGTTCTCCTGTGGGATTTTCTGCTGCTGATGTGCCTGGGTTCACTGTGTGAAGTGGCTTTCCTAGAGCCTGAATAGTACTTGCTGTTACTGCTGAAAGGTCTCTTCATCAGGTTGGAGTAAATCTCTCTTTGCTGTCGCACAGCCAGGAATTGGCTGAATGAAGTGTACTTTACAGGTGGTTCATGCATGGGATTCCAGTGAGTAATGGAGGATGAGTGACTGACTTTGCGAGAACCATGATGATGATGAGAACTGCGCTTTCTAAGCACATTTTTCCGCCTTTTCAACTTTTGGCGGAATTCAGGAGTGGTTCTCACAAACCTGGGTTTGGATGGATTATTGGTGGACCTCCTTTTACTTGACCTGCTGCTGTTGTTGTTGTTGTTGTTGAGGATTGAAGAGGCACTGGATGATCTGGGATGCTTCCTTCTGATGCGGCGCAAGATCATGACTCCCTTCAGCCTGTCATTATTCCTGAGAGTACTGATGCTATTATTAGGCAGCACTTGAGGCACAAAGGGTGCAATTTCATAGTGAGAAGATGCAGAGCTTTTGCTAGATGTTGCTCTGGTTGAGATGCGCTCTATGACCTTGCCAATCTTGGGCTCTGTTTGCACACCCCGCGACTTGGAAATGGTGGATGGAGGCGCAGGCTCTTTAAACAGCTTCTCTGGCAGGGCCTTGGGCTGCACATTCACAGTCCTGATCTTGGAGCTGAGGGGTTGCCAGGGGGGCCAGCCTGGGGGCAGGTTCTCCTGGGGCAAGAATAGGTAGTCAGACTTGAGGGACCTCCTTGGCCTCAGCTTGAAGTCTGAGGGCATCTTGTGCCTGAACTTGGGAGGCTCAGAGACCCTCAGAACAGTTGCAGATTTGATGCTTTCTCTGGGAGACTTCTTCTTGGTAGAGGGCGCTGGTGGCAATGATTTATTGGACATCTTCTTCCTCTTGTTGACATGGGATCTCCTCCTGCTGCTGCTGCTGTTGGTGGACTTATTACTCTTGATTATATCATGGCTGATGGGTTTGGACTCATCAGCAAGTGTCTTTGGTGGTGGAGGTGGCGGTGGTGTTGGTTTCTCATGTGATACAGATACAGCAGGTGAGAGATGTTGATGACGGTTTATTGAAGCCTTTATTTCCCTCTTATTGTCCTTGCTGCTGGCCAGCCTTTTCATGTCTCTCTGCAAATTCCTAAACTTGATGCTGTCCTTGACCAGGCGTTTGTAGAGCTTGGTGGCTCTGTGATCTCTGGACACTCCGGTGCTCTTCAACTTCTTGGGCCTCTTGAAGTGAGCAGGGTTGAATAAGCTGCGCTTGCTTGACTTATTATTCTCCTCAGTGGAAGTGTAAGCATCAGCCACAGTGTCAGGTGTAGTCAACTGTCCCAGTTTGAATTCTATGGAGCTGTTGGAGCCACTGCTTTTGACATAATCCTCTCTCCTCAGGATCTGCAGGACTGCAGAAATGAGTTCTTCTTCTTCTTTCTTGGTGAGGTGGTGAAAGGAAAGTGATCTTCTTTTGGGGAATGTTTTCTTATTATTATTATTATTATTATTGGCAGGAGGTTTTACTGTGCTGGAATTGGATCTCCTTCTGACAGGATTCTGCAGTTGCTCTTTGGGGGCTTCAACTGAGAGTTTTGGGGGTTCCTTCACTGATGGAGCTTGTTCTTCATGAGCAGGCAGCTGCTTATCCTGTTGGTGAGGAATATCCTCAGCTTTGCTGCTTGAGATGTCTTCAGCAGAGGATTGCTGAGAGAGCAGATCTTCAAGGGTAGAGTCCACTTTAACAGTGCTGGTGGATCTAGATGTGGATGAGGTACTGGCACTGATGGAACCAGACCTGGATCTTTTATCATGAATGGACCTTTTGTGCCTTCTTCCTGCCCTTATCCTGGCAGCAGCCACACTGCAGATAGAGCAGGACACAGAGCTGGATGACCAAGAGGCAGTGATGCTTGAGCAGGTGGTATCTTGTTGGTGAGAGATCCCTGCAGCTGATTTTGGCAATTGGATTATGTGCAAGCTTGCTTCTGTCCTATCATCACAGCCACAATAAGGAGATGTGAAATCAGTCACTGTGTCTGGTGGTGGTTGATGGTGAGCTTTGCAAGCCCTGCAAACTCCATTTGCAATGTTTCCAGCATCAGTGATGGAATAATTGTCATTATTATCCTGATGATTGGTGTTTGTAAGTGCTGTTGCTTCTTGCATCAAAGAGCTGACATTATTGAAGTCCTCATGAACCCCTCCTGAAGTGTGTCTATGAACTGCCTCAGACACATGAGATGCACTGTTTTGCAGCTCTTTTTTGTTCTGTCCACTGGATGTGAGTTCAGCAGAAGCAAAAGACGTCGTGAATTCGAAAAATGGTGAACTAGATTTTCGGCTGTTTTCATCTAGGCTGGAATTTTTCTCCAGTGTCTCCTCAAGGTTTTGATTCTCCCCAGCTTTTTTGTTAATGCTGAGAAGTTCTTGAAGGAGGTGATCCTTGACTGTGATGGGATTGTTCATGCGCTTGATCAACGAGTCTCTCCTGACACTGAACCTGGATTGCACAGTTCTTCCGTGATGACGATCGGGGACAGAGACATCTATGTTCCTGAATGGAGTGCTGCCGTCTCCGGGAGCTAACGCAAGTAGGTTAGATGTCGCTGGTTGCTGACCTCGTCTGTGTGGGTCGTGGACGCTGAAGGATTCTTCTGCTGTATCCCATGGCACGATTCTGAATTTATGAAGAAGTTTCAGAGGCAAATTTCAAATGCAAGTCCAATTCTATTGCTCTCATGCAGATTTTGTATTTAAAACTGCAATAATGTGAGTAATTGTTTTCATTAAAAAAAAAACTTTTGATGTTACATTTTATTTTCAATAAAGCAGTCAGGAACATTAACTGCAACTGAAATGAAATACTGTAGTACAGCTCTATAAATTTACTGAATATACATGTGAGATCCCCACTTGCAGACACCTCAGCATGTGGACAATTCAACAAAGGGAAACTTATTTTCCCATAAAAAATATTAAGAAAGGCCCAACACAAGGACACTGACTCAAAATCATAGGGACATTTTTTTATAAAATTGCAAATAAGTTTCAGTTCAAATTACAAGAATGAGATATTTCCAACCCTAAAATGATCAAAGAAAAGTTCTTGGGCATTTCTCCCACCCATTTACCATCCATTTAGCTAATTTTAAAAAATTACCTCCAGCATATATAGAGGGACTTCCTTCACTATTTTTCACCTGAATGTTATTTCTACAAAGAATGCCAACATTTATATGTACTGTACAGACGTATCAGTATTCAATTCCCAAAATTTCCATATTGTGCTGAAATATGTTGATTGAATCAGTTTAAATTGGGAGACAATTTTTATTTTAATGGAATTATGGTGAGTATTTTGTGCATAAAACACCAATTAAAAATTATGTCATGTAAGTGAGTAAGTCCAAGAGAAAATGAGACTTGACTTACGGACATTTTGACATTTGGACACTCTTGATGCACTGATTACATTCACATCATTGAGGGGTCACACTGCACTCCTCAAGTTGCCACAGCAGTGATACTCATTTAAGGGAAGTTTAATGTATCAGCTTAGTGAGCTGGATATTTTATCTGCATGTTTAAGCTTACAATATGCTTTTTTCCTTAGTTGCAAAAAAAAAACCTTGAAAAAGATTTAAGCTCGAAACCTGGAATATTTTGAAAATGTCGTTGTTAATCAAGAGGGAGGGCTTTTGTTTGTGTATATATACATATTTATATACCAGCTCACTCACTCGCTGCTGGCTGTTCCCTCACTGGTGGCCGAGCTGAAAGTGAGGAAGTCGTCGGAGAAATTGACCAAGGAATTGAACCATTCCACCACGGGCCGAGCATAAATCACACACCCCAGCCCAGTCATCACAGCAGCGCAAAACAAGGACCCAGCCCAATTAGACGAGTCCCTCGTCGTCGCACTCTGATGATGACCGTCTCTTCCCACTACACCTCCACCAGAAGTCGAATAATAACCTGTTCCATTATTATTATTATTATTATTCATGTGCCCCAGTGAATAACGTCTTCTGCTGCTTCCCCAAGCCCTGCGTCCATCATCGTCTGCGTTGTTACGATGATGATCATCGTCCAGACTCAGCCACAAGCCAGAGAATTGGTGAAACGCACACGCGGAAAGCAAGTAGAGTCCGGCGTGCAGGAAGTAGCCGATGAAATCCGCCAGAGTCAGACACAGGAGCACACCAACCAACACGCCTGTCAGGACTTGCTTCCCGTCCATTTATTTGCCCTTCTTATTGTTTCATTTGTCCCACGTCGTGTGTGACGATCGGGTCATGATACAATAAGCATTTGATGCCGTTGGGAGAACTTTATTTTTATGCAAGCCTTCGTGTAGCAGCATGCATCAGGAACGGGATCTCAAGAGGCCATTTTGGGATGACATCATCATGATCATCACATGCAGACGCCTGTTTTCCGATGTGATATTATAACAGTTCGGTACTAGTATATATATATATATATACAGGTATAAGAGATATATATGCGCTTATGGTAAGTGGATAAGGGAGTAACACAAGTACTGTGAAGGTCTGGGGGAAATCTATGATGGGTTTCATTGGAAAATGAATGCAACACAAGTCCAATTGGAAAATTATCTTGGCAAGCTTTTCCTGTACATGCTGGCAATAATTTGCTGAGAAGTAACTGTCAAGGAAGCAGGAAATTACAGCATTATAATTATAAGAAATGCGAAATCACCTCAGCAATAATGAAATCAATTACTGTAAATACAGTCAAACCCTAGTTTCAAGATGCCACCATTTGTCCAGAGAAGTTTTGGAGATTTAAAGGGGTTGGCAGATTCCAAGACGGGTGACTTATTATTATTAAGCGTAGAAAAGAGCCTACAATCAGTACATTCGTCATACGTCATTTTCTTCCCGCGACTTTCACAATACCTTAGATCCACGATCGTTTTTTCGATTCATTGCTGAAACTCGCTGTGCATAATAATCGACCCGCAGACAAATTACTGCGGCTTGTTTTTAACCGTGAACCTACACAATGACTCAGTTATAAAAAATTGAGACCTGTGTCGGAATTGAGTTCCATCATGGACGCGTGATGCTCGACCGAATCTGCACGCAGAAACTTGTCTCTCACAAATCCCATGCCAAATAATTTCTTGGGGGGCGAGGGACCAAAAGCCGCGGATTCATATCCATGGACGGAGATCGAATAGGAAGTCAAGTGAGGTCATGTTTTGGTTAATTCATCTTCTTTTCTATGGCGAAAAAATTAATTGTGGTGATGATTGATTTTTTTTAAGTTCCGTCGTTGCGAGAAATCGGCGTCAAGTACCAGCAGTTCAGGTGTGAAATTGTTCAGCATTTCATCCGGGTGTCAAACAAGTTCATTATTCCATCACGGTGATCGATTTTCACATGATCAGCAGAGAATGATGTCGGTGTTTAATCAAGGCCTTTGTGTGCCTCTACTACAAACAGTACGTGATGATTCTTGACTATAATGTTCAGAAAGAGAGATAGTGGAGATCCAAATCAATTTAGGTATATAATGCTCTCCAAAAATAGTGCAGAATGTTTGAACTAAAATTAATTGCTGGAGTGTTTCACAGATTCTGTGAATCAGTTTACTCCAAGCCCTGTGAAATTCAGCATTATGGAGTTGGATGGAATTTGACTAAACAATAAAATCTTTTTACAACAAATAAAGTAACCGTATTTCTTTAGTTTAACAAACTTTCTTTTCAAACCCATATGCAGCACTCACAGCATTGAGCTTCTTAAATTAATGGATTATACAGTGAGACCCCAAGATGGGGATGTAATTGGTGCATCAAGAGTGTTCCTAAGTCAAGTCTAATTTTCCCTTAGACTTACATTACATAATTTTTAATTGGTGTTTTATGAAAGAAATATTCACCATAATTCCATGCACATGAAAATTGTCTCCCAATTTAAACTGATTTCAATCAATACATTTCAACACGATATGGATATTTGTGGAATTGACTCCTAATACCTCTGTATACAGTACATAGAAATGTTGGCATTCTCTGAAAAAATAATATTCAAGTGAAGAAGAGAGAAGGAAGTCCCTCTCTGCTGTAGGTAATTTTTCAATTAGCTAAATGGATGTTAAATTGGTGAGAGAAATGTCCAAGAACTTTTCTTACACCAATTTTAGGGTTGGGAATATCTGTTTCTTGTAATTTGGCCTGAAATGTATTTGCAATTTTATCACAAAATGTCCCTATATCAAGTCAGTGTCCTCATGGCAGGCCTTTTTTATTAATTTTTTATGATAAAATAAGAGTCCCCATGTTGAATTGTCCGCAGGTCAAGGTGTCCGCATGTGAGGGTCTCACTGTATTTGATTCCCTTTTGTTTTCACAGCTCACTCCTCTTTCCCCATATCCATATACTGCTTAGATAGCATTTTTCAAATTGGCAATGAGTCATTGTTGGAAGTGGAATCTGAGATTCAGCTGATAATATAAATATAATGAAAGTGACATATTCAAATATCTTTAGTACTTCTGACGAAAATCTGTCAATATCTGAAGCTGTAAATCCATCCCATCACAGAGAAAATGGACCTTCAAAATATCACTTTTTCAATGTACAGTTTAACCTTGAAAATTTAAATTTCCTCAAGTCAAATAGCTCCCTTTGTCAAATTTATCCAGTCCCTGTCAGAATCCTCGCAGAAAAAAATGCAGTACAATTTTCCATAACTCAAATTATCTGAAGCCTCCTGGCTATAATTTTCTTTACACAGGAAAGAGAAAAGTAATGATTTGTTTTGACAAATGGAAGTGTAAGGCTCATTGGACAAATGAACCCTTGCCTCACAGTTCATCCTGTCAACTCATTTAAGAAACAATTAAAGGCCCAGAATATCACCATTTACAATTCTCTGCAATTTTTGCACATTTCCCATGACAAAAAGCTTTTTATTTCCCCAACTCGAAACCTCCCTAATTCCGTTTTTTTTAATCTGCCCCCTTCAAAATTGAAGTAGAGAGGTTTTACTGTACATTATATGATGTACCCTGTTCTTACAATCAAGCTTTTAAAACTGGGAAAATGCTTTTTTGCACAGGTAAATTTCTGATGAAGCAATTTGAATGCTCTCTTATTTGAATACCATTGAACCTTTTCTCAATATTGAGAGGGAAAAACTGGAATGAGCATCATATGATAGGCAGCTATGCATTTTTATAATTGTTACTGAATTGTATCTGTGCATCTGCTTTCTGATGGGAAATATTGGATAATTTTGAACAGAAAAACCTATTTTGATAGAAATGTAGTACTGGAAAATTAGTTGAATTCAGGATCAATTTGTGTCTAAATTCAAATTTGGGCGTTCTTATCTTAAAATATTGCAGTTTTAGAGTCACTAAAAATTGGGTGTGCCCTCTTACTTAGGGGTAATTTATTCTGTTGACTGAAAAAAACCACATTTTGCATCTCACTTGAGGTTGGGTAGCACTGGAGGAAACATAATATTACTGCTCTTTGGCAGGGACCTAAAGAATAATTTCATTGTCACCAATTTTTTGATAATGAGATTATTTGTAACAAGAGTCTATTTCATATGCCATATTTGCTTGATCAAGTACCCAACACCTGCAGCACATACACAGGTTTTCTAGTCCAAAGTTTTTATTAGATTCTATCCCAAAGTAAGACATATATACCCCACTTCAGTGACTCTAAAACTGCAATATTTTAAAAATAAGATCAGCCAAATTTGATTTCAGACAATGGAAGTTCACCTGAATTCAATTATATTTTCAATCACTGTATTTGCATTAAAAAGGTTTAATAAGATTGGTTGTTATTTCCCCGTGAGAATCAAGTCCAATGCACACCTAAACTTCTACAACTTCTTGAAATATGTATAATACTATACTTGTCTATGATGTCCACATTCCCTCTTTTCCTTCAAACTTTGAGAAGATATATTCGCATATTATAGTATTTGAGGAAATAGCTGGTTGAACTTTCATGTACTGTAAATAGGGTTCAAGATCATTGCATCATCAGTTTCTCAAGGATAGTTATGGAATTGCGCAAGGATGGAATAGTGCAGCAGGTGATTCACGGATGCCGTGCCTCAAGTATGCAGCACAACCAACATGCATCCCAATATCAGCACCTAATACTGTCTTCTTGCCAACACGACCTTCAACCAGTGGCACTGGTGCTTCTCTCAGCATAAAGCACAGGAAAGTTGACACTTCATTCACATCAGGTGATCATCACTTTTATTCTGAGGTTTCTCACCTCTGTTGAAGCTCTAAAATGCAAAAATCCTACAAATTAATTAACCCTTGTTATCTTAGAAATACAGTAATTTACAGAAGACCCTTTTTGGTAGTTTCAGAAGAAACCTTTTAGAAAGCCTAGAAACGGGAAATTGCTAAAGCGAATATAATCGCTGCAATTTCCTTGATGAGAAGTCTTTACAACTTCTCATGACAAGTTACAGTAACCTTCCTCAGGTAATTAAAGTACAATCAATCCTGAAACCCTGGTGGGCTCAACTCTTTACGAAATGGGAGTGATATTCGTTTCTCTTGCTCTTGTTGCGCCTGGTCATTATCACTGATGTGTAACCAGCACAATTATATTTCACTCAGAGCAATTTC